TGAGCCTTGGGAAATGCAGCAAGAAAGGCCAAACCGACCTGACCCTGGCTCGTGTGGACGGCCACGAGTGATTCCAATTTGTGTTACAGCACGAGTGGCTGAACACGTGCCTGCCAGAAACTACACTGTAAGGGCGAGTTATTTCACAGCAGCCACCCAAATGCCTTACAGATTTTATTAATTTGGATATAAAAGTACTCAATTTAGTTTCCCCATGAACCCAAATTTAGAACACTGAAAACCTGCTGTCAAAAAGTTGTGATATCAAAAATGTACATGAGTCCCTACTTTGGTGAGCGGGAGTTCACAGCAGTGATGCTAAATGCTGGTTTCAATCTCGAGACTCGGAGGCCCTTCGACGCCTTCTGCAGAGAGACCCCGCAGGAGACCGGTTCACAAGAAACCACAGCCGGGCTGAAGCCTGGACCTGGTCAGGTACTGTGCACGCACAGCTACACAGAGCTCTCTAAGTTCCCTAAGTGACTCACATTACTTTCTTGGATATAAAGTCATTGCTGTATGTTTATTTTTTAAATATTATAAGACAAAGATTTTTAACTTAACATGAAAAATTCACTTTTATTTTGAAAAAAAGTTAACTTTTCATACTAACAGAACAAGATTAAAGGTAAATTTCTTAAACATTATCCAGAAAAATAACAAGATTTATAGTATCTCTGTGTCTGGCTCCAATACACACAGAGGCCAGACCATGCCTACTCTGCAGGGGCCGCTTCCGTGCTCTCCTGCTCGGGGGCAGGCTCACTGCCAGCTTCTTTTCCTTCTTTGCTCCTTTTAGATTTTTTGTGCTTGTGTCTTCTGTGACTGTCTCCTTCTTCACTTTCATGGCGACGTCTACTATTACTGAAAAAGAGGAAAGGTGGGTTCTGTTTAAAAATGTTTAAATACATGATTAGTGAGAAATCAACCCACTATAAGTAAATTCTCAATATAACTCTGGGTTTAAAATAACCTAATCCGTGCTTTTCCTCACACACATCTGGGGGAGTAATCAGTAGTTGCGTGACTTCTATACAGAGATTGCATTTACATACAGGGTCACCTTCGCTGATACTATCCCAGATTCCCAGTGCCTACATATTTTATTCTGAAAGACCACTTACAAATTAGAAACCGGAGTGCTACATCAGAACAGGAAATACTTTACAGGGTTGATT